ATTGGAGTGAGGGTTTCCATGTGCTCAGGCCCAACTTCTTTTGTCTGGTTCAGGTCCTTTGCTTCCTTAATGACTTGCTTCCTTCTTATCTACCTCCCCGAAGGGATCTCATAGTCAAGATTCCTGGCTTTTGTCCTCTCTGCTTAAGTGCCTGCTTCATCTTTAGTTATGGCAGCTTCAGCCTAGTCTCACACAGCTGAGTTTATGGAGAGATCTATTATGATTTAAAGCTCCATGTAAACAACAAGAATTATTAAGAGATTTTTGAGCAAACCCTCATGTCACTAATTCAGATCTGAAAGACCTAGCAACTGGGTTGCTTTCACAGTCAGTATTTCATTCATTGGAAATAAGGTACTTATGAAAAAAAAAAAAAAAACAAGAGCAAAGTATTGATTAGAGAGGGAGAAAACAAGATTCCCATTTCTGATTGTGATATGGAATTTCCTGTCACAAGGGTTTTGGTAAAAAAATAATAGAAATACTTTCAAAAAGTGGAAGGTATGTTTATATATAGCTATGGTTGTAAGGAAATGTGACCAGTGAGTAAACAGGAGGAGGAAGAGCCAGTGGTAGAATCCAGAAAGAACAGGAGCAGGGCTTAATTGGAGAGTGAATTTTTATTACAGAAAGCAAACTAAGGAGTGTAAGCTGTTTGTATAATTTTGTTATTGTAAATACAGTGAAGCTAATATAGTTCAAGTGAAATTTTCAAGCCAGTTTATAAAGAATAACCAATAGCGATGATCACAGCTGCTACCAATGCTGCTAAATTATGCATTACCATGTGCAACAAAGCTGCATGATGCATGGTTCATATTTGGGGCTGCTGACACCTCATTACTTAGAAATTGAATGGTACTGGGTTAGTCCTGGAACCCTAGCACAGGCACAGATTCTATGCCAGAAGTAACCTCTGCCCTCTAGAGCCTTAACCGTCACTTTGCATCACGCTCTCCTTCTGCATCCATTTACTGAATACCCCTGCTCTGAAGAGAAGTCAGTAAAGGGTTAGCTTTAATGGAGATGGGAAACAGAGACAGATGGGCAGACATCAGCCACAGGGAAAGCAACAGATTCCTTACCAGGGGTAAGAAGTTCTTCAGGGAACTCACCTGGCATCACTGAGATGCTCCAGGGTGAGCTGTAAGGTCAATTAACTTTGTCTCTTTAAAGAATACAACAGCCAGGAAGAAAGAGGTCTGAACAAAATCAGCTCAGATCTCAGAAATTAGTTTTATAGCCAGCAGACACATGAAGAGAATAAGAAATGTGCAAATTGTCTGTAATGCCCATATATCTTAAATGCAATAAATGTCCAAATTGGAATTATTTTCCTGCTAACACAACAGCTTCTTCCTGCACTCGTATTTTAGGAAAGTACAACCAATGTTTGCTAAAAAGCTTTATGTAAGTCAGTAATTAGCAACCAACATTTGGAATGAAAATATATCTCAGAACTAAATCAAACCATGCAAAATGTCACAACAGATAATAACCATGTATTTTTCATATTAACATGGAAAAGAATACACACATGCACCATCTCAGCATGCTTGTCATATCATTTAATACAAAACCTGATCACTTAGGAAAAGGGAAATAGCATAATACATCTGACAATTCTATCAAGGAAGCCACTGGCAGCTGAATAATGCATTTCTGCTGATTCCTCCAGGCTGTGATGATTAATCCATGCTGATACTGCCAGCTGATGTGACCTACAGAGAAGGATTCATTCTGGCCCACATACCACAATAAAATGAACATCACTGCAGTGTCAAAGAAACATTAACAATGCATCAGCTCTAGATGCATTGACTACCATGCAAATATCAATGAATAATTGTGGTACCTTTTCCCCACGGTGTTTACTGAATTGGCCACATTCCGATTCACAAGAGATTTTCTCCTTGACAACTTCTTGGTGCTGTTGCTGTCACCAGTGGTATCATCATCTTTCTTTGGTGTGCTACCTCCTTTGCTGTTGAGGTCCCTTAACACATTATAATTAATTTTACTTGAGATCTTCTTCTGTTCCAACATTTTTTCAATTGCCTCTCCTGCTGTGCTGGCCTGGATCAGCTCCCGTTTCTTTGCAGACTTCTTGGGCTTAATTAAAACATAAAGAACAGGAATTTTAAGGAGCAATCAGAATAATTTCACTGAAATCAAAGAATGGATTACAACTGAATCAATTCTCAGATGACAGGTGGTAGTGAAGGGGATAGGTAGGCAATGTAGTTAGAATAGCGGCTTATCAAAGTTTTAGTATGGTCTTAACAGTTCCTTGTAGAACCAACACTGTAAGGATCCAGATCTGAATACTTGAGTGGAATTAAGAGCCTGTGAATTTTCCCTCCCTTAAAAATAATGCACTGCAATAAATGTTGTTTTGAATGGCTATTAATGTATATACCATGTAGCTATGCTAAGAAGTAGTTCTTTAAAATATGCTTTCCTCCAACACGTCAAGCCCCATTCTTAAGTGTAGAACCTGGAAATAAAGTTTAATTTTTAGCAAAATTTGAACTACTATGCCAATGGAAAGGGGCAACTGATTTGGGAATCTAGATTAATTTTTCCTTGTCTTTTAGATCACAATGAGCATTGGATGAGAATTTACTACTGCTAGTACTAGTCTTGAACTAGATGTGATATGAGCACAGAGCTTCTATTCTATGCTTTGACTGTAAGTATCTCTTCTAGTGTTCTACACAATAAAGTTGAAATTTATATTGAAACAAAAGTAGCCACCCTTCCCCTTTTCCATAATATGTGCACTAAAGAAAACATATCACATAATGGAAATATCTCACCTATGGTTGGCAACAAATGGATGGGTTCATAAAACTATACAATGTCAATATGCTATTTCTTAACTATACAAAAGGACTTCAGTAGAGACTTGACATTTTTGCAAAAAATTGAAGAATGACATTAAAATTGCAGGGCTACAATCTGCAACAAGGGCAACTCCCACTTACAGCTGTTTTACATTTAGAAATTCAAGATAGTAGATGGCTTGCAAATATGGAAGGAAAGATGAATTTAAAAATCTGAAGAATCTGCAGTATGAGTGAGTGAGACAGAAACAATAAGCCAAGAGATGAAAAAAGATTCAGACTATGTGATGCTACTGGATTTAAAAGAGAAATAATTTTGCTTGACACTGACAGCAGCTACAAAACAATCTTGCAAAGATAGTAAGGAGAGAGTTGTTGAAGCCTTAATAAAATTCTTAGAATGGGAGGAAGAAGGCATGGATGCAGAAGTGGACAAGGTGTACACAATTAACACAAGAAATGAAAAGTTAAGAAATGTGCTCAGAAATATACTTGTGCACCTTGTCAGGAAGAAGACAAGAGATCAAGTTCTACAACAACACTGTAACACTAAGCTAAGGATTAATAATAGCAGAATACTGAGTAAGAGAAAAGAATATAAAATTGATTTGTTCAATCAGGGATAAGACAATAAGTACTTTTATGAAACACTGGAAACATTTTATTTCAATCAGGGATAAGACAATAAGTACTTTTATGAAACACTGGAAACATTTTATGGACTTTTTGCTGAAATCAGTTGATGATTTCTGGATTTGCCAATTGAAAAGGGCTGAATATGGGAAGAAGCGAACTATGTAATGTAATCTTAAAGGGGGAGGAGTGATGCTAAGTTTGTAAAGAAGATCAAAAGTCATTTCTTTAAATATCTTTTTCTTTTTTTAATTTTCTGTACCTTTCCTCTATCTTTTCTTTCTTTTGCAATTTCATTTTCTGTATTTTTTCATGTTTATCTTTTACTTGTTTAAAAATCTCTAATAATTATTATATTTTAAAAACATGAGATAATTTGACATTTGTTAGCTATCATATGAAAGTTACACATAAAACTTAGTTTTGCCAATATTTTCACATATACATAAAGGATATGAGTACCATATATATAGATCTGCCTGCCTGCGCCCAATTCATAGTATACTTCCTTCTATTCAATAGTTCATGTGTTGATCTATATCCTTTTGCAAAGGGGCTACTCCTGCATATAAAAGCATATAAAAACATGGGAACCTGCTGATGCGAGCTATAGAAACTTTTTATTGGTTGTGTGAATTGGCCTTTTGAGATTCCAGCTGTAATTCTCCTATTGTATCTAAAACAGTTCCAGTTATTTCCCCAGAGGCATTATTTACCCAGCCTTGAATTGATATTATTTAGCATTTATAGCCCAACTCGCACTAAAATCTTGAGATGGATAGTAGCTCCCAAATGATTCCATTCAAACAATCTGATTATGCCAGTGTGGATTAGTTTAAATGTTAAACGTTGTGTCAGTTTATCTTCTACTCCAAAAGTCAGACCTGACATAATTCTTAATACAATTCAACAATGTCCTAACTCAGCGGTCAGCATCCTGTCCCCATCAAAGACCTCTTTGTGGCTCACAGAAACCCTCTCTGACAAATAATCAATAATGTGGTTTCCTATCATTTTGAGGTGGTAATTGTATAAAAACTGCAAGGTGAACCATAAAAGATGCTTAGAATAGTTAGAAGAAAATATACTTTTCCATCTGCAGACAGAAGAATCAAAATCTTCACTCTGTCTAGATACATGATGCAAATCATATTCTTACTCAGTTCACTGCAGATGGTAATACCCTGAAAACCATGGTCTTGTTCTCTAAAGAATGTCCACCCTGCCCCAAGAAATTGTCTTGTTTAAAGGATGGGTCTAACTCATATCTATGTGCCTGAAAATTTAGGTATATGAAAATCTAGATGCTATAAAATAGACTTAAATATTTTGAGCCTCAATAGTTCTAGTCATTTACATTTATTATGGCATAATTCACACTACATTATAAGGGTTCATGTAAACAAAAATATCACCACCAGATTTTACTTGCAGTGGACATGAGGCTTACAGGGCATTTTCTGTAATCTTTTTATCTACACATTCTACTATATACATTTATTTATTTGTTACATCATTTATATACCATTCTATTCCAAGAGACTTCAGGAGGTTTACAGAATAAAACATACAAAATCCTCCAAAAACAATGACATAAAGCCTTCTTAAACTACTAATAAAACCGATTAAAAGGAAAGAAAATCCATAAAAAATGACAATGCTTTTAGTGTCCCTATTACCACCTAGGGCAATAAGAGCAGCCACTCAGATTTCAAAAACCCTACAAAATAAAACAGTGTTCACTTCCTTTAATGATACCAAAGTAGAAGTAGCCCTTACTTCTGAGAGGAGCCAATTCCACAGAAACAGACAGCCATCAAACAGGCCTGCCTCAAGGCTTCTCCAACATATCCAAGGGGTATCTGAAGTATTGATTCTCAGATTGAACACACATCTTCTGCTTAACCTGCTTCTGCTTGAACTTATCTAGTGAAGGGGAATCTACCACCTCTCTGGGTAATTAGTTTCACTGTCAGTCAGTTCTAACCATTAGGAAGTTTTCCTAATTTGACTGGAATATGATTTCCTGTAATTTAAATCCATTATTCCGTGCCTGGAACTCTGAAAGGAAAGAGAAGAGGTTTTGACTTTCTTCTATATGACTCTCTTTCAGGTATTTGAAGAACACTATCATACTCCTTCTCAATCATCTTTTTTCAAGGCTAAACATATCAAACGTCTTCAACCTGTCTTCATAGGTCTTAGTTTCTAATCACCTGATCATCTTCATTCCCTTTCTTTAAACTTGTTCCAATTTCTCTGAATCCTTCCTAATCTGATGCCCAGAACTGGTCACAGTATTTGTGGTGGGATGTGGCCAATGCATGCAAAATAGAATAGACTGCTTACCTCCCATGATTTAAAAACTAGTTCTGTTGCAATTACACTGCTTTGTTTGCAGCTACATCATACTGCTGGCTTGTATTCAGTTTGCAATCAACTACTTTGCCAAGAAATTAATCCATTTTAAATGGATTCACTCAATTCACTGAACTAAATAGTAACCAAATGGGTTGGGTTTGCATAGTGCATTATTCCACAACAAAAACCAACCAAGCTTAACGTGTTGTACAAATAAAGTTGCTAGATCTTTAACTGACTGGATTAAGAGTGTTATGTAAACACAACCAAAGTATGGTAAAAAGTGCTCCTTTGTACTTGATACTAAAGCTGAACTATCCAAAAACGAATGAGTCTATGCTGAAGGAATATTACCATCTAAAGAGGCTCAAGGTAAGAAAATAAAAGATTTAGTCAATTTTGGCATTCACCTGTGGATATTATCCAATGTATATTATCTAACATTAGGTTGCCAGGTCCTTGAATCTAAAACATCAGGAGAAATGTAGCCAAATCAATTATCAACTGAAAACAGCTTGGGAAAAAAATAAGCAAAGTGGCATTTGTGGATCCTTCCTTTAACACTTGCCAAGCAACTTCTCACTTGGCTTAATTTTTATTTTTAGATACTTTTAATTAAACATGAAATGAAATGGGAAGCCCATAGCCTGCAAAACTGAGCCTTCAGCATCATCTCTATCACAAAATGTATTTGGACCTGACATAGATCTTACAGGCATTCTTAGAAAATAAAAATGGTGCATCACTGCAATGCAAGTCTTTGTACTTTATTTATTATTATTAGTCTTATTGACAAGTAAAAAGCCAACCTAAGCTATTTTATTTAGTTGCTCCATGTAACAAAATGATTTCTGCATTCTGCTGTACCCAACACCATCTTCAAAGGTAGTTCCACATAGAACACATAAGCCATAATCTGGTTGTAAAGGTATCAGGGCATGTACCACTGAACCTGGGCTGTCACTTGCAATACATTTGACTCACAGCTGACAAACAGTAAAAATAAAATCTGGCATTCCCACAGTGAATTAGGCTGTATGTTTGAAGTACAGTGTGGACTTGAAGGGGAAAAAATGTGATTTTAGTTTAGCTTGGTAATAAACAAATTCTTGGCTTCAAATGTACTCAGAAACATCCTGTCCTTTAATTCTAAATATATGACTTCCACAACTTATTCTTAGTTGGTGGATCCTGGGATGCTAATAAAAAAAAACAGAGTAACCCTGTCAAAGCTGGTCTGTGCCTGGAAATGTAGACTACACTTCCTTCCTCTTCTTCATGCTAAAAGTGCTAATCTTTTAGCTTGTAATTCTTCACTAGGGAACTCCACACACTCCTTCTTTGAGTTTTTCTTGCTTTTTCTAAATGCTGACAATTCCCCATGGCTCTGCTTCTTCATTTCTAAAATCTGGATTTGTCCCAGTTGCAGAAGAATTATTTTCAAGTGGTGCTTTTTATAAAATGTCAGTATAAAATCAATTGCATTATTGCTATCCACACAGACACACAAGCATAGACAGAAAAACTTACTGCAAATCTTTGTTCTGCTGATCACAATGGAGATACCAAACAGCACTGCAGCCACTGCTGCAACATGACACTCAAGGGATGCATTGATAGTTCAAGTAAAAGCAAAGAACTATGTCCAAGGGCTCTCTGGGACTGCTGTACTGTGGATCAGTAGAAGCTGCCAAGAATATATACAGTTGGAAATCTGCTGGAAAATGGGCCTGAGTAAGTGCAACCCCCTGAGAAATGATATGTGATACTCAAAGAAACTGCAGTGTCAACTAGATACACAATACACTAAATTTAAAAGCAGCAATAAAAATGGAGGAAGCTGCTTTTAACAAGTCAGCCCACTGGTCCATCTGGTTCAGTACTGTCTGTACTCTGACTGATATAGGCACCTCTAAGTTATCCACAGGCGTCATTTCTATCCCTATTTGAATATACTAGGAATCAAACTTGGATTTTTTTTGCATGCAAAGCATGTGCTCTGCTGTTGAGCTCTAGTCTCCCCTGCTGAATACAAAAACTGCAGGTGTGATGGGGATGGTGCTAGGATTTTATGAGAAAACAAAATGCAAAAACTGAGCTGCAAAAGCTGCAACTATCTGGCCAAAAAAGATGCTGCCTGCTCTTCAAAAAAGTTAAAGCATTTCCACATCTCTCCAGATTTTCCACTTGCAAGACAGAACCCAGACCTTAGTGGTGACTGTGCTAGGGACTTTGGAAGCATAGTTTAGCAAGCCAAATTATGGATTTATTGAACATTAGGATTATTAGAGTTAAGGCAGCAAATTACTATTTGCACTAACCATGCATTATGTCTTAATTGAGTTTTGGCAATCTACCCTAATATCATCTCTCTCACAGATACTCACATTTAGATCTATAGAAAAGTTTTACTTAGAGATTTAGTCTGAGTGGTTTCACGTTGGATTAACATAGCATAAAGTAGTATCTTATAAAAAGGAGCCTGGAATGTGTAGCCACTGCCAAGAAGAGCAAATCTGCTTCTTAACCTTCCCCTCATAATTATAGGGACACTATCAGAGTTTCGATTTATAATACTGTCACTACTAAAGAAAGGACTGATTGTAAAAATGACAACAACCCTGAAGCTACAACTGATCCAGACTGAAAGAGGATCCCAGCATGTCAGGTACATGGGTGGGGCAACTTCAGTACATAGTACAATGGGCTGCTTTAATAACTGAAAAATCTTCCCAAAGATTGCTAAAAGAGGGCATGGAATTTTATTAACGGAAAGAGAAAGCAAATCAACAGGTTTCTTAGTCCTTTTATTATGCAGATTAAGAGTATTTTCTGAAGGATAAAAGCCTAATATAATTTCAAAATGTCTGTTATGGATATTTCTTCAATTTTTCAAAGAGAAATCTGGTATGAAAACAGGTAATAGTATTTACTTTTTCCCATCAATGGCAGCACCGAGCCAATCTTGACTGATCTCAATAAACTAAGCAGGGTCAGATGTAGTTAGAACCTCAGTGGGAGGTAATCAGGAAAAAACAGGGCTCTTGGCTAGACTGGGAAATCAAAAGAATACCCTGGAAAAAGGTCACGCAAATCCACCTCTGTTAACTCTGCCAGCAAAACTGCATGGTGGCAGTCCGTAGAAATGGAGCTCAATATGAAGGCAATCTTATCTTAACATGTCTAGCTATTTTTTTAAAAAGTAAGACAAAGAAGTTTTGGAATACTTATTTTTATAATAAATATATAATCAAGAAAGTTTGAATTACATATGGTTTGCTTTAATGATGTTAAAGGGTTACTGCTGTAAAAAAAAATGCCTGAATTTAACAAGGAGTTTATATATATTTATACACTATGCATAAAACAGACACTCATAATATAAACTTGTTTCTAGCAACAAAAGAAAGGATTTTAACAAATAAATATAAGATGGGATGCATGAAAAGATAAGCTCCATATTTATTTTAAAAAATATAGAGACGAAAAACTAATTGTAGTATTACAATCTTAATCAAGCCAGGAAAGAACATAAGCAGTGCTTTGTTGGATTGGAACCCCTGGCCCATCTAGTCCAGCAATGTGTCCTCACAGTGGTCAACCGACTGCATAAGGAAGCCCACCAGTCTCCCAGCAGATGAGATGATCTTCAGAGGCAATCACACAACCATCAAGGCTAGTAGTTTTTCATCCCCATGATTTTCATGAACTGGCCCAGCCCCTTTTTGAAGCCAGCCAAGCTGGTAAGATTGAGTTCTAATTCTGAAACACCTCTGTGTGAATATTTTCTATAGGTCTTATCTAACAGGACCAAACACTGTTCAAATTTGCTTGTTTTTACGTCACTTATTTCAAAAATATTATTTACCTTATGTTCTTTATAAATCCCAAGCTCTTTTTCTTTTGCTATCCTTGCTTCTTTTTCTAAAAGAAAGGGATAAAGCAGAACTGTAAGCTGAATAATATCTTAAAGGACATGGGGTGAGGTGGGGTCTTAGACAGCAAACACAGAGGCAAAAGTAAACTGAGGAGCTATTAGATTCTTGTGAAAGCATTGATGTATCAAGAGAAAGGAAGCAGAACATGGGTCCCAAATACGCCCACAGAAAGTAAACCTATGTTCTGTATCTGGAATATAAATTGCATAAATAAAGTAATATTTATCTATTTAAATAAATAAATAAATAAATAAATAAATAGTATAAATAAGTAAA